CGAAGGCGCCGCCGCCGCTGCGCGCCCTTGGCCACATGGCGGCTGTCATGGAACTACTCGACGCCACAGCGGCGCAACAACCTCACATGCGCTCCGCGAAGCAGGAGAGACCAGAATCGTATCTATGAGTCGGATCGGCGATCGACATGAATCGGAAGGAGGAGGAGGAGGGGGAGGAGAAGGAGGAGGAGGAGGAGGCGGAGGAGGACAAGAAGGAGGAGGAGGAGGAGAAGGAGGAGGAGGAGGAGGAGGAGGAAGACGAGGAGGAGAAGGAAGAGGAGGAGGAGGAGGAGGAGGAGGAGGAGGGGGAGGGGGGGGAAGGAGGAGGAGGCGGAGGAGGAGGCGGAGGAGGAGGAAGAGGAGGAGGAGGAAGGGGGGCGGGGGCGGGGCGACGGCCGCAGGCGGCGCTCACCTCTGGTCTGCCCGCCTGGCCCCTCGCGGAGCTCGGCCAGCGGGCGCCGGCCGTTCGGCTGAGGTCGGGCCGGCCTGTCCTCCGACAGGCGGGTTTTGGACGAAGATTTAAGTTAGAGATAAACGCATTTTTGATTTGTTTTGCTTCTGAGGAACAAATGCTGAAATGCTCGACTACTTTTGAATACTGTCCCTGTGGGGGGGACATGCCCGACCCCTCGCTCGGCCCCTCGCACCAAGGGAGCCCGCGCCTCCACGATCGCGCAGGCGCTGCCCGCGTGCCCTCGCCCGGGCGGCTCGAGGGTGTGTGCGCCGCGGCAGATCGACGCGGTCCCCTCGGGCTCCACCCCGTAAGCCTGAGGTCGGGCGTGTCCTCCTACAAGCGGAGCTTGGACGAAACATTGGAAAAAACAAAGCATCCAAAACAAACTAAAAATTCGTTCCCAGACAATTTGTTCTCCATTTTTGACCATGATTCCTGTAGAGGGACAGGCCCGACTTCACACACGCCGCGGGGGGCCGCTCCCCTCTGCGCCAGCTCCCGCCCGTGGGCCCTGGCTTCCGCCGCCGTCCGTGTCGCCCCGTCGCTGCTGTCCTCCTCCTTCTCCTCCTCCTCCTCCTCCTCCTCCTCCTCAGAAGAAGAAGAAGAAACAGAAGAAGAAGAAACGGCACACACGCAAACTTTTGGCGCTCCGCGTGGATTTCTTGGATCCGCGCTGGGCCCCCCTCCCTGGCGCGCGAAGCGCGCCAGGGGCGGCGCCGGAGGCGCCGCCTGGAGGGCTGCGGAAGTCCGCGCGGATCTCTTGGATCCGCGCTGGGCCCCCCCCGGCGGCGCCTCCGGCGCCGCGCGCCAGGGAGGGGGGCCCAGCGCGGGTCCGAGAAGTCCGCGCGGGGCGCCAAAAGTTTATGCTCATGTATCTTTTGTCTGAGCTCCACGCTCGCCTCGAAGACCTCCGAGAGAGAGGAACAGTCGCCCACCAACTACGACAAAGAGCTGAGGGCCGAACAAGTTTACGTTCGTGGCGCTTTTTCTTCTTCGGATCATGGCCGCCCACCTTTGGACGCCCGAAATGGGTACGGAAAGAATGGGCACAATGCCCAACAACAAATGTTGTCCGAAACCAACAGCGGCCGCTGTTGGGCGGGCGGCCTTCTGTCTCGAATGGACACAGGCCGCGGCAGCGTGGACAGCGAGTCCTGTTCAAAATCAACAGGATCCGCTGTTGAGCATTGTACCCATTCTTTCCATGCCCATTTCGTTCGTACAGACCGCCGCTCCCGCAGCGGGGTGCGAGGACGATCTTAGGGATAGGCCCTCAGAAACTGAGGGAATCCTTGAGATCGGCATCGAGGTGGGGTAATGTCAAACATAGGGATAGGGATATGTTTCAAGCTGGTAAGATAACGATAACGATAATGATAACGATAACAACGGTAACAACGTCAACAACGACAGCGATAGCGACCACAACGATAACGACAGCTATCGCTGTCGCTGCTAGCGCTGCTGTCGCCGCTGTCGTCGTCGGTGCTCCTTCGCAGCATCCGTGAAGATGAAGGGAAACTGGGACACACAAATAAATATACACAAATAAAAGGATTCCCCATATTTTCACATCAATTTGTGTCTCCCCCCCCACTTCCCCCCATATTTTCTCATATTTTCTGGGGAATCGACGATTAATTGTGTCTGTGTGTGTTTTTCCCCTCCTGATCCGTGAAGAGACGGCCACGGCTCGCCGCCCCGCCCGCCGCCTCGGCCAACCCCGCCTCCCGGCCGCGGCGGCTGCCGCGCCGCCGCCCCCACCCTCGAGGGGGTGCCGCGGTCGCGGCCCTGCGTCCCCCGCCGGCGTCGTTGCCGGGGGCGTCGCAGCCTCCGTCCACAGCAGCTTCTCCTCCAAAGCTTAGTCCGGGCCTGTCCTCCTAGAGGGGGATCTTGGACGACGAAGAAAAGATCGTCAACAAATACCCCCACATGGCCAAAACATACACACAAAATCGTCCCCTGACTTTTCTTTACTATTTCTGAATTTTCCTCCTGTAGAGGGATAGGACCGACTTAATCCAAAGCCGTGCTGCTCGCTGCTCCGTTCTTCCTGCCAGCGTCGTCGCCCGCGCCGGTGTCCTTGCTATTCTCCGCCTCTCTGTTGTACTTGACACAATCCTGGCGCACGAAGAAGGTCTCCACCGCGCCGCCCTTACCGCCGAGGATGTGGCTGCTGTGAACACCGGGCTCATCCAGGAAGCTGCATGCATTTAGGGGCACGAAGAACAGCATAAACAGAAAAACTCGGAGGTCCGCGCGGAATTCTCGGATCGGCGCTGGACCCCCCTCCCTGGCGCGCGGAGCGCGCAAGGGGCGGCGCTGGAGGCGCCGCCAGGGGGTCCAGCGCGGATCCGAGACGTCCGCGCGGACCTCCGATTTTTTGCTCATGTCATGGCTCGTTCCCCTAGGACGGTCGCTTCCCCGACACCCCGACCATGACGACCGAAAAACAGAGTTCTTATGTTTATGTCATTCTTCGTTCCCCTTGTATTCTGCTTGGAGATGTGGCGCAGATTACGGTTCGGGATGTTCACGCGCTCGGCTTCCTGGACTGCCTGCCTGCCTGCTGACTCTTCTGCGAGAGCGGCGCCCATGTACCGTATACCATGCCTGGACTCCCCTCAAGCTCCGCTCCAACGCTGAACGGTGCAGAACTTTTCGGCTCCGAGACCAGAGCAACTATGCACCGTAACCTTCTGGGATCGAGGATCGAAGACTCCTTGGCGCATGGCAACGCGGTGCGTGCGGCGCACACGAGTGATCCACAGATATGCCCTTCGAAAGGCCTTGGCGGCACGCACCGCCACTGTAAGGCCTTTGAACGCGGCGCAATCCTTGTCACCGATGTGCTCCAATAGCGCCTCCATGAGCATCTGCACGCGAGCTGCCTGCTCCGCCAGGAACGCCTCCGTGGTCGATGGGCCGATGATGCCTGACAGGCCTGCCGCGAATGATTGTAGCGTGCGCGAGTGCCTCGCCGCCTTGAGCCCGAAAAGGACTGCGGATGATGATGGTAATGATGATGAGGAAGAGGAAAAGGGAGGAGGAGGAGCAGGAGGAGGAGGAGGAGGAGGAGGCGAAGGAGGAGGAGGAGGAGGAGGAGGAGGAGGAGGAGGAGGAAGAAGAAAAGGAGGAGGAGGAGGACGAGGAGGAGGAGGAGGAGAAGGAGGAGGAGGAGAACGAGGACAAGGAAAAGGTAAAACGGTAAAACGGTACATGCGCTTGGGGAATCTGGCACCGCCGGCTCCGTACCTCGTGACCCCCTGCGTATACTACGGATGCGGGGCCCAAGCCACACACTTCTGCAGGCAGAGCACGCACCTGCGGGAGGGCCTCGCCGCGTGCGATCGACAGGAGGGCGACGACCTGGACGGCTCGGGTCGGGCGAAAGGGGGGGATATAGCAAAAGGGGGGAATTGAGAATCAGCTCACGTAGCCGGTTTTCCCGGCGCCTCCCAGCGCCGGAGGCGGCCATGTATCGAGGAATGGGCCCCTCGGTGAGGCCGAAACCAGTTGCATGCAGCAAATTTCGTAACCCCCCCTTTCCCAATCCCCCCCTTTCGCCCGACCCGGACGGCGTCGCAGAAAGACACACCTGGATGGGGGAAGTCGCAGCCGACCCTGCAGGAATTCTCTCCGGGGCTCGTGGGCCCCCTCGAAGCCCCGCTCCGGCGGGGGTCCCAGAGACGCCCGGCCAGGTCGATCAGGGGTGGCCCGCGAGGGAGGAAGCTGAGGAGGAGGCGGAGGAGAAGCGAGGACGAGGGCGAAGGAGCAGGAGGAGGAGGGAGGGAGGAGGCAGGGGCAGGCGGAGGAGCAGGAGGAGGAGAACCAGGAGGAGGAGGACTCCTGTGCTCGCCGGCCCCCCGCCCGCCCCCCCCCCCCCCGAGGCCTGCCCGCGGGGGCGAGAGTCGGCGGTGGACGAACCTCCCTTTAAATAAACCTCCCCTCAATGAAAACGGCCTGGGACCGAAACCGACGGACCCGGACCTGCAAAAATGACGGCCGCGACACCCTCTCGCGAACCGAAAACGACCAATTCCTTGATCGACGTGTCAGGGTAGGAGGTCTGTCCACCTCCGACCCAGACCCCCGACGTCATGATTTTTTCATGACGTCGACCCCCAGAGGTTTGGACCCATTCCCCAGGACCGGTTTTTCATCCTGAATCGTTTTTTGACGGTCCCGAGGCCCGGTAGGGGCCCCCCAAAGCCGCAAATATGGAAAAACCTCCCGTCGTGATTTTTTCATGACTCGAGGGGGTCTGGGTCCACCTCCGAGAGAGCTCCTGCACCCGGCCGTCGCAGAGGCCGCACGCCCCCGGCCGCACCAGGTGCTTCGTCGCCGTCTCGCCGTCCCGGAAGGCCGCCGCCCGCGGAGCGGCGGGGCCCGGGCGAGTCGCGCGGGGCCCCCGCGCGCGGCACCCTCGTGGGCCCCCCCCCCCGGGGGCGAGCGGGCGGGCGGAGGGGGGGCACGAGGAGGGAGGGGGGAGGGGAGGGGGAAGGGGAGGGCGAGGAGGGAGTGAGAGGAGGAGGGGGGAGGGGAGGGAGGGCGAGGAAGGAGTGGGAGGAGGGGGAAGGGGAGGGCGAGGAGGGAGTGGGAGAAGGAGGGGAGGGGAGGGGAAGGGCGAGAAGGGGGGGCACGAGAAGGAGGGATGGGGGGAGGGGAGGGGAGGGCGAGGAGGGGGCGGGGGGGTTCTTTCCGCAGCTCGGACCTTGGATTCTGGGAGGCGGCCTGCAGTTCGACGAATGCCAGGCTGGGGAAAAAGGCCAGCACTTAAGGTCGTGGGCGGCCTGGCAGACTAGGCTCTTTCCCGCTTGCCCGGCGGTCCCCACGGCGACGGGGTGCGGGGCCAACTCTGGCGCCGCCGGGCCGAGGGAGTGGGAGGATAGGGGGGGGGAGGAGGAGAGGCTGGGTCTGCGAGCGCGCGCAGTGTCTGACATCCGGCCCCTCCCGCCCATCCAGGCCTATCCTGCAGCTGTTTCTGTGTTCGCCGACGACGGGTGTCCTAGCCGACCTGGATCCCAAAAATGATGCGCAAGAACAAATGGAAGCTCTGTACCAATGGAGGGGGATGACGAGGAAGAGGCGGATAAGCAGGAAGATGAGCAGGAACAGGGGGGGGGAATCTGAGTAAGATGAGTAAGGGAGGAGGAGGAGCGCAAGAGTAGGAGCAGCAAGAGGACCAGGAGCAGGCGGAGGAGGGGAGAGGAGAGGGCGACATGACGAGGAAGGAATCGGATCCAGAAATGTGGCCCGTCTGTACTGGGGCGAGAGCGCCATTCTGACCGACTGGAGCAAAGCTACGATCCTAAAATGGGGTCAACGCTGCAGCGGGAACACCAGCTTGAAAGACTGAAGATGCCCTGGTGAAAGAAACATCTTACATTGTAGTCCTGTGTGAGACAAACACTCAGCGGGAGGAATATTGCCCCACTGGGACATGATCTAGGGAGAGAGGGGTGTAATATTGAGGTCGGAAGTTGGGGGGTGAGATCGCAGTGGAACGGAGAGACCCCCTCCGGGAAATCGGTTTCGGTTTCGTGTTGTGCCTGCGGGCGAGGCGAAGCTGAGTGGGTGTGCGAGAGGAATGACCCCGCCGTCACCAGGGCGATGCGGATGCAGTCGACCAACACTCCCCCCCCGGTGGGCGCGCGGTGGCCCGGGGTGTCCGCCGTGGCGTCCTTTGGTGTCCCGTCGGCGTCGGGCAGGCGGTGACCCGGGGTGTCCCGCCTTGGTATCGATAATGAATTAGATAGTGCGATCGATAATGAGATCGCTGGAATAGGATGGATAATCAGTGAGATCAACAGTGATATCAACAGTGATGTTGACTGTGACATGTGACATCGATAGTGAGTTCGATAGAGGTGCCGATAGTGAGATCGATAGTGAGATCGATCGAGTGTGATCGATCCTGTGAGGTCGATAGTGGGATCGATCGTATGAGATCGAAGACGGGGACGATAGTGACATTACACCGCAGCGCAACATCGTCATCACGCGGCGTCGCTAACTCGAGGGCGCGCCACCAGCCTCGTCATCATCACACCCATCGCATTTGCCAGCAGTTGGTTCTTTTCCCCCCACCCCCGAACCTCCTTATCACCCGAAGGGTTGCCGAATAGGTAGAATTATAATGGAGAGGCTGATGAAGGGGGGGAGGAGGACGAGGAGGGAAAGTGGGGGACGGAGGAAATACAACGATTTGTTTTAGGACGATGAGGAGGATGTCCCTCTTCCTCCTCTCCCTCCTCTTCTTCTTCCTCCTCCTCCTCCTTCTAGCTCCCCGTCAACTCCTCCTCCTCCTCCTCCTCCTCCTCCTCCTCCTCCTCCTCGTACTGCTGGCTCCTCCTCCGCCCCCTCCGTCAACTCCTCCTCCTTCTCCTCCTCCTCCTCCTCCCTCATCCTGAACCTGCGTCCGCTCACCCCCCCCCCCCCCGCGCGCACGGGCTTGGAGGAAGGATAGTTCAAAATCTCTGCCATTTCTGGCAATGTCTCTGTGTGTCGACCGGTTTTGGGAGATTTCTTGGAGGGAGTGCGCGAGGGAAGGGGAATGGAGGAAGCTTCGCAGAGTCTCCGGGGGGATCCTGGGAGGGTCTGAGGGGCTCCTGGGCGCCATGAGAGGCTCGAGGGGGTTTCACAGCAAAGTCCAGGCCCTCGTCTCCTGGGAGCTCTCGGAGGGGAGGGGGGCGGAGAGGGGCGGGGCGGCGGAAGGAGAGGAGCGGGGAGGGCGACAGAAGGGAGGAGGACGAGAGGAGAAACAGGAGCGAAGGAGGGGAGGAGAGGAAGTGGAGGGTAGAGGAGGAGAAGCGGGGAGGAGGAGCGACGGAGGGGAAGAGCAGGGAGAAGCAGGACCGTAGCGGCGGGAGGAGAGGAGCAGGGAGAGCGACGGAGGGGAAGAGGAGAGTGGGAGGGGCGGGGCCACATGGGGAGGCCGAACTCCAGGCCCCAGCGAGGTGGGAGGCCGAACTCCCCTCGGCGGCGAGCGCGGGGTCCAGAAAGGCGCGGGCGGGGTCGAAACATCCACCGCCGGTGCTGCACACTATTGAGCGTTTCGGACTGGGCCAAGACGCAGGTCGTCCAGAAATCCCGCGGGCGCGAGCGGTGGCCGCGGGGGGGGGGCGCCGGCAGCGAGGGGTGATAGTGCCGCACATACCTGTCGCCGCCTGGTGGCACTGTGGCTGGGCGGAGCAAGCAGCCGGCCTCTCTCGGCTCACACAGGACAAGACAAGACAAGACACGACAAGACAAGACAAGCCAGCACTCCGGCCCAGATGGGCGATCCTCGAAGGGGGCGAGAGCATGGGGCACGCAGCCCCTCACAGTAGAAGAGGTTGTGGGCCGTCACTGCATCAGCACACGTGGGAAAAAAAGAAATCACATACCGGTGCATCACGCTCAATAGCTCTTCCTTCATCACAAAACCTTCCTCTGACGCGCTCCACAAGCATCATTTTGTGCCGCACACCCGTTGGTCAACCAAGGCCTCTCGAAAATCAGAACGGTGGCAACTGGGACTTTTTGAGAATTCCACCTGGAAGGAACGAAGCATGGAGAACATTCCGACCCGCGGCTGTACTTTTCCTGGGCGCGCCAAAGTGCAGGTTGACCTAAGTTTAGGTCGGGCATGTCCCCCTACAGGTGGATTTTGGACGAAAAATACAGACATACCTCAAACATATTCCAGAATCAATCGTCCCAATTTTATGTTTTGCATACTTTTGAATATTCACCCTGTAGAGGGACATGCCCGACTCAAACCTAAGTCCCCGATTCGGGGACCCGATCGGCGGCGCCGCGCAGCGGGTCGAATACACCTCTCTCTCGTCGTCGCCCCTCACGAACATGTCCTGCAGCCCCTCCTTGGGCGCCACCAGCCTCACCGGCGTGTTCGTGGTGTCGCTCTCGGACGTCCCTCAGGGCATGGGGAGGGGCTCTCGCGAGGTGGAGGGGGGAGGGGGCGCACTCAGAGAGCGGAGGACTGCCATTACGCTCGCCCAGGGGAAGATGAGTAGGAGGAGGGAGCAGATGGACATCAGGAGGATGAGGCGGCGGAGCTGGATGGAGGAGGATGGAGTAGGGACGGGAATATGGAAGAGGAAGAGGAGGAGGAGGAACGATAAATCTCAGGAGGAAGGAGGAGGAGGAGGCGGAATATGAGCATCATAAGGACGGTTCGGAACAAAGTTCCTGGAACACACAATACGGATGGAGGGGAGGAGTACTGGGGGTTGAGCGCGGGAATGAGTGGGGGAGCAAACTTGCACAGCACAGCGAGCGGGAGCCCACAACCCCGTTGGACAAGGGCAGCGAGATGCAATCCCCACGCGCACCAAAACATTAGCTACCCCGGTACACAACATGCAACGGAGGACACCGATACGTGCGCCAACACGTGGGTCAGCAGGTGCCGTGCCAACACGCTACGTGTCAACACGGACGTTTTGAACACTTCTTCGTCGGCAGTGAGCCTGAAGAGCAGAACCAACGGAGATTGAGCAGGGACCGACCGTCCCAGCATTCCTATAGTCCTACCACGAAATGTCATTAGAGCCCAACATGTTCTAATAACAAAAACAGTGTTCTTAGAACATATTCCCGATGTGTTAAAACAAAACAGACCCGGCCAGAAATGTTCTAAGAAGATTTCCTGCAGACCACACAAGGTTCTTAGAACATTGATTGGTAGGGCTATAGGCGAGCCAGGACGCTTCGCCACTGCTTGAGGATAGCGATCGGGGCGACGGACACGCGAACTGGCCGGCATGCCCTGGACGTTTTGAGCGCGGTGCGCGGCATTGCGTCTCAAAACGGGCGTACCAGGGCAGCTAAGACCCGAGCGCGTCCTGGCCAGAGTCCCCCGTTCTCCCCCGACGTTGCCGAGCCGCCGCCTGTCGTGGTCGTGCTGGCGGTCTCGGACACCACCGAGGACGTGCTGGAGCTCGCGGACGACGTCGTCGAGGCCGAGGTCGTCGAGGACACGGTCGTCGGGGTGGACGTCGTCGAGGACACGGTCGTCGTGGAGCTCGCGGACGAGTCGGTCACCGAGGGGGGGCCAGCGGGAGGAGGCCCAGATTCTGGCGCTACGAGCCCTGGCGAGCTCGACAGCTTGCCTAGGAAAAAAAGGAGGGCCAGATTTGAGAGAGGGCCCGGCAATGGGGGCCTCCTGCTGCCCCCCTCTTGCCCTGGAGGCGAAGGGGCGGACGGAGAGGGGGCGGAGGGCGGAGCAGGACGAGGCGGAAAGGGCCGAGAACGCGTGGCGAGCGAGCGAGAGAGAGAGAGAGAGAGAGAGAGAGAGAGCAAGACATAACGCGAGAGAGAGAGAGATACACATAACGAGACACATTCATATGTATATACATGTATATATGTATACGCATACACTCAGAGAGAGAGGGAGACAGAGAAAGAGGGAGAGAGAGAGAGAGAGACAGAGAAAGAGAGAGAGAGGGAGGAAGTGTGAGAGCGCGCGCAACACTTCGGACAGCAGGTCTGTTTAGGCTCCGAGGCTACAAACGTCTTGCAGGCCTACCTCACAAGGCGGGAGGTGACGCTTACGAAACAGGGGTAGTGGTATGATCCCCCTCCCCTGGCGCGGCCTATAGAGGGGGCCCCGCTGGAAAGCAAAACGGGTATGCGGTGTTCAGGCCGCTCAATAGCCCATCTGCGCACCAGTGGAAAAGCGCCGCCTTTGCCCGCGCGCTGAAATGCACGATGCGGAACTTGGGGTAAAGTGAACGGCGCCGCCTTGGTACATCCCCCGCATCGGCCCAGAAAGAACAGGCGACGCAGCAGGTGCAACTTGCACGCGCGGCCCATTGGCGGGGAGGGGTGCTAGCACGGGTGTGCCACTGATTGAACGTCCATAAAGGCTTGGAAGTTGCCGTAGAAGAATGCCCCCAGGGCCACTGCGGACCGAAAGGCTTGTCACAAGGCGGTCCAGGCCTCTTGCGCTCGCCGGAGCCTGTCGGGTAGCGGGGCTGACTGATCCTGAATCGAATGAAGTGAAGACGCCAGTGGGTTGGCTCACTGATGAAGCGCATGAATACTGGCGATGAGTGGTTTCGCGGGCCATCATGGTGCTGACTGTTCGCCGCATCGAGATGTTGCGTGAGGGCTTGCCTACGGCCCATGCGTTGGGTAGTACCGCTGGCGTGGTGGCCGTCATCACCAGCCTCCCGGCCATCCCCGTCGGAACCCTAGCGAGCCGAATGGGGGGACAAGTTGGGGTGGGGGTTCGGGGTAGCCGCCAGGCTCTGACGCTCCTGGGCGGTCGTCGACTGGCCGAGAGAGAGAGAGAGAGAGAGAGAAAACCACAAAAAGGAGAGAGAGAGAGAGAGAGTGAGAGAGAGAATGGCTTCGCACTGCGGGGTGGCCCTCGACTGCGTTGTCTTCGCCGAAGACATGGGCTCTGAGGAGGGAGGTCGTTCGCTCCGTCATCATTGAGCGTGGCCCCGAGCCCGAGCGAAGCAAGGTCCTCCCCTCCGAAGTCGTCCGGTGTTGGCGACCACGCGTCGACCACTACGACAACTACGTCCTCGGTATCGAACCCGTATGATTGGGCCTCGCATCCGCGAGGCGCTGAGAGTTGTCATGAACCTGTCTCTTTTTGCTCCCACCCGGGGGCAACTACCTTTTGACAAGTATGCCACGAAGGGCTACATGAACTGAGTCATCACGTATGGCCGGCCCGTCGAGGGCACTCACGTACACATAGCATTACCTTATCATGATGCCCCATCGGGGGCGCGTAGGCGTTCACGACGTTCGCCTGCATGAACCGTCTCTGCGACATCCCTGTACCGCCGTTCTCGGCTACTGGCCGACGCCCGCGGGATGGGTGGTTATCCCTTCCCCGGTTGGCTACTGTGCCACTTTCTATTCTTCATCCTGGCTGTCGGATGGTGCTCGTGCCATGGGATCGTGCCGATGCCAGCGGGATGGGTGGGTAATCCCTTCCCCGGTTGGCGCCTTCAGCGTGGAGTCAGAGGCCTACACACGCACTTCTACTTCGTCGGCACCCTGGGGCGTTGCGTCCTCTAAAAATCGCTGGTCGTTGAGTTCTCATCTGTCCCACGGCCGACTTCTTTCTGTTTCTTTCCTTTGGCGGAGTTCTTCTCCAGCATGTCCATCGGCGGCTACATGGCCGCCAGGTGTTTGTCTTTGGCCACCTGTGCCTGGCTACACACGACAAAGCATTCCCACCCATTTTGGCGCGAACTGCATCATCATCATGACGTTCAACTGTATCGAGACCGATTTCCTTTCGGTCATCTTCTCCTTCGTACGTATGTGGACCCTCGGCCAGAGTCAGCCTGGTCCATTATTCAGAAGTAGGCGACCATGCGTCGTCGGGCTCCTCGAAGTAAGTGGTGCGGTCCTGGTGGCCCGCCCGGCGGAGGCGGTCTCCCTCGTGCACCGGTGTTCTGTCCCCCCCCCCAGACCGATGGTGTCCGGGGGCGCGCAACCGTGGATTGGCGATCCATGGACTTGGCGCGCGGTCGCCCAATCTGGATCGGGGGAGGTGCCGTCCCCAAAAAGCGGCCAATGCCGCCGCGTGCGGCGGCGGAAATCCGCGATTTCCCGTGGAAAACGGGACCCGTCGCTGATCCACGCCCCCATTGATCCATGCTTCCGAGGTGTGCGGGTTCGGTGTCATGTTGAAGATTCTGGACCTGGCATGCCCAGCTCTCTTCTGTGAGGCAAGGGTTATGTTGTGCCCATCCTACTTAAGGACCGCATCCCAGAAATAATTTCGAGCACCCCGAAAAATGTCAAAAGAGTGTCGAAACGGTGTCGAAACAGTGTCGGGCGAGTGTCTCCCAGGGCCCGACACGTGAAAACCCTTGAATTTCGGTTCTCTTTTGGGCGCTCGAAATTCTTCCTGGTGGTCAAGGTTAAAATAGGTTGGAGAATCATAAGGCAAGGGGAGCGTCCGATGTCGCCGGTCGTACATGGCGACGGCCGTGCTATGGAGGACAGCGGCAAGCTTGTGTCGCGACTTGGCAGCGTCGACCAAGCCTGATGGGGCACAGGGGAGCCGTGCCGCCGCAGTGGCGAGTTCATCAGCGTGGCGGCTGAAGGCTTCAGCGACAGGAGCGATGCGCCATTTGTTTATGGGAGAGAAGGAAAGAGAGAGAGAGAGAGAGAGAGAGAGAGAGAGAGATAGAGAGAGAGGGGGAGCGAGCCATGCATAACGCACGCATGCGTTAGCACACATCGGTGCACACGCAGGCGCGGGATGATGGATATCTAACGTCTGCGGCGTTCGCCAAGGTCAGCGCGGGGAGCAAAGAAGGTTCAAGTCCCTTCTGGAGCCCCATGTCCGTCTGATACCGTCGCGGACTCCCCAACATGCCGACCACGCCATCTCCGACATGCGGGAAATCATCGGATGTGTTGGCCAGTGCCCACACATAATACTCACTGTAGGCTCCAACCCCCGACCAACTTCCACGCTGCTAAACTGACTAGCCCAGGCCGTGGACGGGCACTGGACAATCACAAAGCGTGAACACAGTGCAATTCTGACGGGACCTCAACAGCGCCACTCTCCCGGAAACGTTTCAAGACGAAACGCACGCTATTAGCATAGCGTGCATGAACACTATGCCTCCTCCCATCCTCGCACCCTCAACGCATTTCGTTTCTTTGCGATGTGTATTTGCAACGCTTCTTGGAAAACATACTTCCCCTGCCGTGCACACTACACCATATGCAACAACCGTAAAACATGCAGCTGCTCAATCACGGTGGCTCTTGGCGTTTCGATCATCCGATCGCCAGCAACGCGTCTCTCCGCGAAGGAGGGAGGGGGCACTAGACGCGGGTGGAGGGTTACCAGTGGGGATGCCGTACTTAGAAGGCTGGATGCGGAGGCGATGGAGGCTTGCGCAGAGTGGCCAGCGCAAGACCGCGGGACGAAACCACCTCGAGGAATGCGGATGCGAAGGAAAGAAGGTCTCCTTGGATGCCTGGACACGGGCACCAACACCAAGACAGGAAGCTGCCTCCAAAGGGGGGAGATGATCCCAGATTTCGGTGCTGGTGGCAATCTTTCGGTCACCCTGGAAACCCGAAAATTACCACCATCACCGAGATCGGGATCGTCTTCCCTCGGTGGAGGAACACCGCCAGGCCTGCGGACTCCTCCGCTTCCTCTGCCTCGCCCTCTCCCGGGGAGCCCGCCAGAGACGTGCGCGCCCACAGCCACGCACACGCATACGCCCCCCCCCCGGTCTGCGAGGCCAGCCTCGTGTTGCCTTATGTTGTTCCCATCCTACTTAAGGACCACATCCCAGCAATAATTTCGAGCACCCGGAAAAGTGTCAAAAGAGTGTTGAAACAGAGTCGAAACAGTATCGGGCGAGTGCCTCCCAGGGCCCGACGCGTCAAAACCCTTTAGTTTCGGTACTTTCTTTGGCGCTCGAAATTCTTTCTGGCGATCAAGGCTAAAGTAGGTTGAAGCATCATAAGTTTTGCCAACGTTCGCGCAGAGCGTGTCTTCGAACTCAACGTGGCCTCCTGCGCCTGGGAAGCGACGTCCTGGTGCCCCAGCGGGCGGTGGATATGGATACATCTAGGCCCCCGGGGACACGAACGTGTCCATATCCACCGCCTGCCGAGGTCCCCGAAAATCGATCCTCCAGGCGGTGGTCGTGTGTACATCCCCGCCTCGGACTTCTCTCGCTCCCGAGCCACCCTCCTCGTTGAGACCGCCGGCAGCGCTCTCCACGCCTCCATCCCCCCCGGCCCTGCTCCCGCTACAGTCGAGGCGTTGACCTTAAGGAACCCTGAATGAGGAACGAGGCCCCTTTTTCCATAAGTTGAACTTCGACTCCCCATCGAAAACGTAAGGAAAACCTTCGGCAAGGTGTGGCACGATTAAGGAACACCGAGCCCCTCCCCAACGAAAAGGGTTCCTTTTTCAGCGCCCCGACTGTACTCCGCGCGCGGACAGCTGGCTCCCTTTTGCAGCGGCGGCCCTGGCGGCGGCCGCGGCGGCGGACGCGCCACCGGCGCAGCCAGAGAGCGAGCGGGCTAACAGCACGTGAACAGCGGCGGCACGGGCGCGGCG